CGTACTTTCTGCGTGTTCCTTTAAGTCAGAAGGATTTATTTATTTTTATTGTTTGTTTTTGTTTTCTTAACAGCCTCTGCTGCTTAGAGGCTTAGTGAACCGAAAATCCCTAAGGACATTGTACTTATTGTAAGCTGATTGTGCCAGGATGCCTTGATCTAATCCTTCAAAGGCCCTGCATTCGGAGGACTGGCCAGCACATTGTTATGCCTTTCCTTTCACAGATGAGGTCCCCTTAAGGCTTTTAAAACTCTAATTATGTAATAAAGTTAGGAATATAGTCCTTGACTCATCTGTTCTGCTCCTTAAATATTTATGCTCTGGTAGGCAGCCATTAAACGATAATTATTAGGACTGTGTTGAAACGTGGAAAGCTGTTTATAATACAAATGAGAAAAGCACATGGCTTGGCTATCATGATTCCAACCAGTGCAGCCCATTAGCAAACAGGTGGCTGTCTGTCTGGAGCGTGGCAGACAGAAGCACGTGTGTGCTGGGTGGTGGGTCAGCAGGTGTGGATATGCTAGGCACTGGGCGGCATGTATGTGTGTGCTAGGTCGTGGGTCGACAGGTGTGTGTGTGCTAGGCGGTGGGCAGCAGGTGTGGGCATGCTAGGTGGTGGGGCGTCAGGTGTGTGTGTGCTAGGTGGTGGGGCGGCAGGTGTGTGTGTGCTAGGCGGTGGGCGGCAGGTGTGTGTGTGCTAGGCGGTGGGTGGCAGGTGTGTGCGTGTTAGACAGTGGCTGGCAGGTGTATGTGTGTGTGTGTGTGTGTGTGTGTATGTGTGTGTGCTAGACAGTGGCCAGCAGGTGTGTGTGTGCTAGGCAGTAGACAGCAGGTGTGTGCGTGGTAGGCCATGGGCTGATAAGTATTAGTTTCTCTGTTTCATAGACATTGCTGCCTCAAATGCAAACAATTGGTTTTCTAAATATGAAAGCTGCTCTGGGGGAGGATACAGGATCACAGGGGCTGTGTGTATCTTGGTCTTCATTTGAAGCCATTTGCCGAGTGTGCCAGGCAGGAGATGTATGGGATGTATGTAGGGTCCTGAGCCACCTCTGCGGGATAGCCTGTTTGGCCTCTTTCATGCCGTCTGCTCATACAGCACAGGCGGAGCAGGGCTCTTACTGAGGTAGAAAATGCTGTTTCACATCTCCACTGGAGGTGGACCATGAAGAAACTGACTTGTGCTGACACGTAAATGATTTAGACATGGCTGGGCGAGTATTTGATCTCCACCATTGCTTCCTTTTACACAAAGAACTCTTGAGTCTGATTTATTTTTCTGGTGGTGCTGAGCGTGAGTCCGCATCCTCTTGCATGACTGACACGTGTGGACACACGCCACTGACCCAGTTTTACTTAAGGAGTATTTGTCATTCTCATCTCAACCTCAGTAGGTTGTTCGAGGGTTCCGCTTTAACACGTCCAGGTATGCATACAATAGATACAACGGCTCTGCATCAGGGTCACCCCTCTGTCATTCTTCCTCCTCCCACCCCCCTTCTCAAACCTCAATAAGCCTCAGGTTCACACAGGTACATACAATATTTTGATCACATTTGCCCTCTTCTACCCTCTCTCTTCCCTCCCTCCCATTAGAACCCACAGTGACAGGCAGGCCATGTTCCACTTCCTAATATTCCTTGTTGTTAAAGTGCTGTTAATTCTTCAAACATTTCCTTCCTTTCAGTGTCTCACATATGCATATATTATACTGCAGTCAGACTATGTTTGTGTGTGTGTGTGTGTGTGTGTGCTGGGACTGGGACTTGAACTCAGGGCCTGGGTGCTGTGTCTTAGTTTTTTTTTGTTTTTCTCTTAAGGTTGTCTCTCTTCCACTTGAGCTACAGCTCCATTTCTGGCTTTGGGGTGGTTAATTGGAGTTAAGAGTTTCACAGACATTCCTGCCCAGGCTAGCTTTGAACCAAGATTCTCAGATCTCACCTCCCGAGTACTAGGATTCCAGGTATGAGCCACCAGTGCCTAGCTATTTTATTTTATTTTTTATCTGAGTAACAGGTAATTGCATTCATCTATTCCTCAGTTATAGGACCTAGCTGTTTCCCTAGCTCAGCCATTGTGAATAGTGACAGCTTACAGTTGATAAATGCCCATGACTGGTATGTCCAGATAGTAGGCTGGTTAGTAGGGTAGTTGTTTCATTTTTAGTTCTTTGAGAAACCTTTATGCTTGTTTCCATAGTGGTTGCCCTAGTTCACACTCCCTCCCACTGTGTAATGGGGTTCTCTCTCCCCCACATCATCGCCAGCATCTGCTGTGTGTGTGTGTGTGTGTGTGTGTTTGCCAATCCTGGGGCTTGAACTCAGGGCCTGCGCTCTGTCCCTCAGCTCTTTAGCTCAAGGCTAGTGCTCTACCACTTGAGTCACAGTACCACTTCTGGCTTTTTCTATGTATGTGGTGCTGAGGAATTGAACCCAGGGCTTAATATATGCGAGGCAAGCACTCTACCACTGAGCCACCTTCTCAGCCCAGTTGTTTGTGTTCTTTATGATGGTCATTCCCTCAATGTTCTTTGGTTTACATTTCCTGTATGGCTAGGACATTGAGCCTTTCTTTGTGTATTTATTGACCATTTGGACTTCTTTGGAGAAGTGCTGGAGTTACCACAATACTGAATTTCGTATTCAACTACACAGCCATTATGAACAACAACTGCATAGCACAAAAAGAGGTCCAAAGACCAACTGATTAGAAATGAATCTTTGAAATTACAGCCATCTGATTTTTTTTTTTTTTGACAAATCATGCAAAACGTGCTTTGGAGGAAAGATAGTCTCTTCAACAAATGGTGCTGGGAAAACAGATGATCCACATGTGGAATAACTATAAATAGACCCCTGTCTCTTACCCTGTCCCAAAATCATCACACCATATCAAGGCTCTTCATCAAAGACCTAAACTTTGAGTATACTTCAGGAAGGAAGTGGGAAACACTAGAACTTGTACGCAGGCCATGGAGCTAAGTGAAGCAAGTCAGGCTCAGAGAGACAAGGGTAGCTTGTTTTCTCTTTTATGTGGAAGCTGAATTTAGCTTATAAACTTATAAGTAAATGCATTGGGTGGTATACAAGTATATACAAAGGTATGAACTGAAATATGGTAAATCCAAGGGAGATCACAAATAGTGCAATTCCTTAAAAGGCAAAATCAAAGCTCGGTGGAACCAAGCAAAACACAACACTAGAAAGTATATATGCAAGGGTAGGGTCGGGCTGAGGGGAAGGGGTAAATGAATGAAGAGGAGAAGGGAGGAGAATGCAGTGTAAACCTTACAGTTTTAGGAATGAGGGAAGGGTAGGTAGAGGAGGGATGGGTGAGAATGTTGAAAGGATTGACACTGACCAAGATATATTGTACTCATAAACTGCTTTGTTAAATCACAACTCCTGTACAACGAAGATAATAAAAAGAAAAATAATGGTAGTTACCAGGCTGACAAGATAGCCTGCAAGAAGGGGAGAAAAGGAGAGCTTCAGATACCAAACTCCCAGAGAGTCAGTAATCCAGTTAATAAATTAAGTAATAATTTCATTACTTGAGTATTTGATGGTTCAAGTTTATATGAGTAAAGGCAACCTATGTTTCACCTTCATACACTATTGGGTCCTGAAACTACACTTAATTTGATGTATTTTCTCCTTGATTTCACTTTGGTAAGAGAAGGCTCTTCACAGAATAAACAGTGCCTGTGGTGTGTGAATATTCACTCCAGTGGGTACGTAGTAGGTGTACTGTACTGCTATTGGATCAGATTTTCTTTCCTAGTAAAAAAAGAGCAAGAAACTTAGCCAAAAGAGCTGAAGTGTCACCTTGTTGAGGTTTATTTATAGTGTGTCTTCTTCTGTCCTTTTTACTGGCTTCTGCATACTGAGACTCAGAGGAAAAGATTTCCAGTGCTCTATTTCTGGCTGACATGTTAAAAATGAAAAGAGTGCTTTGAAAGGATATTGCCGAGATTTCAGAGTTGGGAGGGAAATCCGTTGTCATTCTTGAGAAGAATAAGAACGGTGACAAGGGTGGTGTCTCAGGGAAGCTTCATCAGAATACCTGTGAAGGCTTGATGGTAGAAACGTCTCCGCTCTGTCAGGCGGGGACTGGCTTGGGGTTTGTGTTCTTGGAAAGGAGATTAATTTGCTCTAAACTGAAGTCAGGTGCCTGTTCTTTACGTGGGTGATAGACAGGTCACCCAAGACGCACAGAATTGCTGAGGAGTGCTTCTAAGACACAGAAACAAGCAAAAACAGCAGACATGTTCAGCAGGATTCTTCTCAAGGCAGATGGGATTTAAATTACAGCTTTAAGTAAGACTATAACTGATTTGGACCTTATCTGAGTTCAGTCGTGGAAAAATCTCAGCAGTTTAAAACAAATGTTTTATATTAAAAAATCTGTTGTTTCCTTACTTAAACATTTAAGTGTTTACAAACAAAAAATATAATCATCTAAGACTACATGTAACTATAATCCAACTTAAACAGTTCTTGGCATTTTGCCAAATTTGTTTCTGTTGGTCGCACATTAAAATATTTTTATTGGTCTGGAGCTATGGTTCTGTGTCAGAGCAATGCTCAGTATACACAAAGCCCCGAGTTTGAGTCCCAGCACCACAAAAAAAGAAAGAAAGGAAAACAAAGCAAACAAGTCAGGAGAAGATATCATTATGTGTTGTTTTTATATCTGGCTCTATAAAAACACTCAAGATTTATAAAAAAAACTTGCTTTAAAAACCTAAGTTCAAGTGGTCATGTGTTTCAGAAAACAGAAGAAAAGATACATTCTTTACTTGGAAGCAGAATTTTATTTTTGTCAGTAAGCTTTCTTATTGCTGGTGGTGTAAGCTTGATGAATTCATTCTCTTTCCTGTTACCTCTTCCGATCGCTGCAGCCTTTGGGAAGTTTTATTTGACTCTGTGCTCTGCACAGCAGTACACGTGTACTACATAGCAGCTGATTGGCCTTGGGTCTCTTTTGCAGTTGAAAGATGCATGAGTGTCATGCAGTCCGGGACGCAGATGATCAAACTGAAGCGTGGGACCAAAGGGCTGGTCCGGCTCTTCTATCTGGACGAGCACCGGACATGCCTCCGATGGCGGCCCTCCAGGAAGAGCGAGAAGGCAAAAAGTAAATCTAACTGACAAATACTTTGCTTGGATTGCCATGGTAACACATGGATAATGCTGGTAGGCGCTAGGGAATTCAGGTCTGTGGAAGACCCATAGTTTTGCAAGTTTGGGGTCAGCAAATGATGACACTCTGTGGGGAATTCAAATCCATATAACTTATGAATGTTATAAAAGCTCATATTTTTCTTGTGTTGGAGTGTGATGTGGTTTTAAATCAGAACGTGAGGTTATAGAGTTGAGGACTTTTTATTTTCCCATAAAAGTTAAATGATATAAATCCAACAGCCTTTGAAGTATATTGTGATATTCTAAGTACGGTCAGCTATTTAATGAGTTAGCACCACTGTTGTAACTACACTCAATAAAAATGGTTAACTGATCCCTGGTTTTAACTTCTCTCTCCTACATATTGTCAGAATTCATAAAGCAGAACCATTAGGATGGATGGATGGATGGGTGAATGATGAATAGAGGAATGGATGGATAGATGGATGGATAGATAGATTGTAGTTGGCTGGCTAGGTGGATGGATGATTGATGGATGGTGGATGATGGATGATAGAGGAATAAATGGATAGATGGATAAATGATGGGTAGATGAAGGATGGGGAAATGGATGGATGGATGGGTGGAATTGGCTGACTGGGTGGATGGATGATTGATGGATGGTGGATGATGGATAATAGAAGAATGAATGGATAGAGGAATGGATGGGTAGATGATGGATGGAGGAATGGATGGATGGATGGATGGATGGATGGATGGGTGGATGATGGATGGAGGAATGGATGGATGGGTGCAGGAATGGATGGATGGGTGGCTGGTTGGCTGAATGTCCGGGTGGACAGGCAGATGGATATAAGTAGAAAGTTTACCAGTACGCTGGCTCACTTAGGGACTGAGGTGCTGCCACATTCCCTCTGTATATTGGAGAACAGGGAAGCCAGTCATTGAGGCGAAGCCTATGTCTGCAGGCTGGAAACTTAGGGGGCTGATGGTGAACTCTGAGTGGGGAGTATCTATTGGTTTTCACTGAGTTTCAATATATGTAAAAATGTTTCCTTGAAGGAAACAGGGTCAATGTTTCCCAGCGGGACTTGACAGCAGCTTGTTGATACGTACATTCAAGCAGGGTGGTTTTGCTTTTGTTTCCCAACCACTTCAAGTAATGGCCTTCACCTGTCTTCTGCCCTGGCCTCTCTTGGCTCTGACAGTTCTTATCGACTCCATTTACAAAGTCACGGAGGGCCGGCAGTCAGAAATATTCCACCGGCAGGCTGAGGGGAGCTTCGACCCCAGCTGCTGCTTCACCATCTACCACGGGAACCACATGGAATCCCTGGACCTGATCACCTCCAATCCCGAGGAGGCGCGCACATGGATCACCGGCCTCAAGTACCTGATGGCCGGCATCAGCGACGAGGACTCCCTGGCCAAAAGGCAGCGGACCCATGACCAATATCCTCCTAGCCCTCCGGTGCTGTACCTGTGTGCCTGTGCATGAACAGGGGCAGAGGAAGAGCACGCTGTGTTTAGTTTGCTCCCACAGGCCTAGGACTTAAAGTTTTTCTTCTTTCTGCCTCTTTCTTTCACTCTTTACCCCTCCTCTCCCTCCCGTGTCAGGGAATACATAAACCCGCTGATACAGGCTCCTGTGAACTCAGGAGCAGAAGTATTCTGCAGAGGCTGACATTCACTCCCGTAGGAGACAACCAGACCCGCATTGTAGAGGCATCCATTCACTGTCCCCGGGAAAGCATTGCTGACCAGGAAGGAAAGTCCTGCCTTGTCATAAAATCCATTTGCTTTAACAGACACTTTCTGGAATTCCAGCTCAGGGCCTCTGAGCTTCTTTCTGCCTTTTTATCTCCTCTCTCTTTTCAACTTACAGTGTGAACGTTGAGTTGTTTGGAACTCTAGAGGAAGTGACATTTTGCTTACTAACACTTGCCCTCCTAAAATCACGGGAGAGGCCAGACTGAGCGTCCGTTTCCCGATGAAGGCCTCCCTGAGGTCAGCTCCTCACTCGGGGCTGACCAGAGGAACGATCGCAAGCTTGGCCGACTGTGTGAGAACTCTGCCGGAAGAGGACAGTGTAGAGAGACCTTGTAAAGGAGGCAGGAGGCGGGGGGAATGGTAATTGAGGCTGCCGAGAGCTGGGCTTGAGACCCAGTGCTGCCTCTCCTGGCCACATTTCCCCCTTTCCTCTACTTTTACGTCCTTATTCGTGTGAGCTGGATGGTCTCGTGCTTTAGGCAGAGGAGTGGATGGGGGAACATTGCACAGGTAGACACAGGTTGAAAGGGCCTCTGAGAAGATAGGGGCCAGCTTCACTGTACATTGGAGGTTTTGCTAGGACGATCCTGGAACACGAGGTGTTGAAGAGCTGCGCCACTGGTCTGGTCCTGCCGCAGGCTGTGTCTGGGCCTCTTCCATGAGGACCTCTGGTGTTATGCATGCTGATACAGGCCTGTGTTCCAATTGTGCGAAGCTGGTCAGGAAATGAGGAAAAGGCATAATGTATTCAAAGTCAGATGACATGCCTTGAGTTTAGGATGCTTCCTCACAGATATATGAATTCAGTTGCCATCTTCTCAAGTGGAATTTGGGCTGGAGTGCAGGCTGCCCCCTGGCCACAGGTGAAACGGCAGATTGTGCAGCAGTGGATTTAGTATTCCTTTGGATAAGGTTGAGTGAGAATGCTTGGGTGAGAGAAGCCTTTGCGATAGTTGGCCCTGATTCCCACCCCCATGTCTGTTCTCCCGTCCTCATGGGGAGCGCCTCAGGGCCTGTGGATCCCAGGGGCTTCTCGGAAGCATTTCTTCCCAGGCTCCGTGCTCCTTTTAATGTTGTCTGGAATGTTCCATGAGAGCGGTTTTGTGTTGATTTCCTTGACTGCTGCGCCCGTGGGTGAAGCAGACCTTCGAGGAGGCAGATAAGAACGGGGACGGGCTACTGAACATCGAGGAGATCCACCAGCTGATGCACAAGCTCAACGTCAGCCTGCCCCGGAGGAAGGTCCGCCAGATGTTCCAGGTACAACCGCCCCCCCCCCCCCCCCCCCCCCCCCCCCCCGCCAACTGCCTGGCAGAGCCCTCCTGAGGTTAGGTCATTGAAAGGTTAGTATGTTTTGCTAAAAGCAAATACTGATTGTTTTGTATCATTTCATTGCTCCCTGGTGAAGAGAGATAGGCATTTAAAAAATTTTTAAAGTCAACTTTTTAAAAATTATTATCTCTAAGTAGTTGTACTGAAGGATTGCCATTCAACTTGTCAGCTTTTAACTACAGAAGTACAACACATCTTGATTGATATTACCTCCTACATCATTCCCTTACTCCTTTCCAACTCTCCTTTCCCTCCTTTTTCCTAAAGAGGTACTTTGTTTTATCAGAAAAAACTTAACATGCAGTCACAATTTCAGTGCTTCAAATACTTTCTCCTAGTTACCATTTTAGAAGTATTATAAGCAGTTTGCCTGACAGTTGACTATGGAGAAAATTTGATCCAGTTTTCCTCCCAGCCCCAGGATTGTTGCACATGCGTGCGTGCAAGAGAGAAAGAGAGACACAGAGAGAGAGAGACAGAGAGAGAGAGACAGAGAGAGAGAGAGAGAGAGAGAGAGAAGAGAAATGTACTCATTACCTAACTTATGGCATTGTGACCCCTTTGAACAATACCTTAAATGGTAACAAACTATATTAAGTAATTTTTTTTTTTTTTGAAGAGCTGGGTGCTGGTGGTTCGTCCCTGTAATGTGAGCTACTCAGTAGACTGAGATCTGGAAGACCGGGGTTTGATTATCTCCAGAGAAGCAATGATTGCAGACCTCACACAGTCTGGTTTTCCTCCCCTTTCAGGAAGCCGACACAGATGAGAACCAGGGCACGCTGACCTTTGAAGAGTTCTGTGTGTTTTACAAAATGATGTCCTTGAGAAGAGACCTCTATCTGTTACTCTTGAGCTACAGTGACAAGAAAGATCACCTCACGGTGGACGAGCTGGCTCAGTTTTTGAAGGTGGAACAAAAGGTATCATTAGATCGCCAAACTGGGTTCTTTAAAATACTGCTGAGAGGGCTGGAGGTGTGGTTCAAGCAGTAGAGCACTGACACAGCAAGTGCAGAGCCTTGAGTTCCACTATCATCATTATCACCACCACCACCAACAGCAATACCAACAACAAAAATACTGCCAAGAAATACACATTTATCTTTCAGAGACAGATGTGGGTGTACTTGAAGCCTAGAATAAAAGGTAAATACCATAGGTCCATAAAAATCTTTTTTTTTGGTCGGTTGTGGGGCCTGAACTGTGAGCCTGGGCGCTGTCCCTCAGCTCTTTAGCTCAAGGCTAGCACTCTACCACTTGAGCCACAGCGCCACTTCTGGCTTTTTGTGCTTATGTGGTGCTGAGGAATCGAACCAAGGTCTCATGAATGCAAGGCAAGCACTCTACCACTGAGCCACCTTCCCAGCCCCCCATAAAAATCTTATCTGAGAATCATGTAAAATATGTTTCTAGGAAGGGGAAGTGATCATTTGCACACTGGCTTATTCCTTTCCTCCTGAGTATACATGTATATATCCCCCACCCCCAAAAAAGAATGTTAACTAATGTATTCCATTTTTGATATATCGGCAATGATCTCCATATGCTAATAATGTGAAGTATTAGAAATAGATATAAATGATCAGGCGGCCAGTGTTTGAACATGTCCATCTTTTATTTTAATTTAATTTTATGTATTATCATTAGTGCAAATACATTGGGGGTTTGAACTTAGGGTCACAGGCTCTTGCTTGGCTTTCTTACTCAAGGTTGGTGCTCTACCACTTAAGCCCCAGCTCTGCTTCTGGCTTTTTGGTGGGCTGGCTTCAAGCCACAATCCTGAGATCCCAGCTTCCTGAGTAGCTAGGATGACAGGCGGGAGCCACCGGTATCCCAGCTGGACTTCTGTCATGGACAGAAGAAGAAGAGAGAAAGGCAAGAGGTGGAGCACCACAGAGCTGGAAAAACCTCCCTGTTAAACAAGAGCCAGGGCCCTGTCCGGTTCCCGTGAAACACACACATCAAGGGCGCTGCTAGGGGGATTTTCAAAGCTTTTCTATTCCTGGGCCAACAGGGTCCTCTCCTGACCGTAACTTACCTGACATAGATCCATCTTGTTGTGCAATGTCGCCCCATTAGCTTCTTTATTCTTCTAGCGAAACCGTTTCCCGATACTGTCTGTTACAACTACATGTGTCATCTCTGTCCTGTCCCTCCATGGAATTGGAGTGTTTCCTTAAGAATCACTGTCATTCTAATCTTCTTGCACTTGTGAGAAATAATTATAAGCTCTTTGCTGTAAATACCCTCTTTTGGTGCTAGTGTACGTTTATCTTTTTCACTTTTCCTCATGATAGATGAGTTCCTTCCCCCAGTGTCTATCGAATTGTTGTCTTAGTCACAATTAAAGCCTTGAGAGAGCTTTCAGCATAATTACATATTATACTCCTTCTGCTGCCTCAAATATAGTTCCCAAAGGACATTTTGTCTGAAAGCTTCCTCTGTCCAAATGTGAAATTAGTAGTCGGGTATTAGGATGCATTGGGTGCTGGTTTGGGGATGCACACCGTGCTCGTGGTGGCCTTCCTTCCTGCAAGTGGAATGATTTTTTTCATCCAGAAACCACCCAAAAATACAGGAGGGATGCTTTCCCCACTGTGTAAGACAATAGAGGCAGAGAGAGGAGCAGCAATGTCCCGCAACTTGTCTGACCTAAAGTTAGACCCCGGAACACTGAGATTTAAGCCCAGGCAAGGAGAGGCCCCAGAACCACCCACTGTCCGGAGGAGCCACAGACAGCTCCCGGAGTGAGGTGAACAAGTTTCATAAGGCAGGAAACCTGTGTAGTGGTTGGAGGTTGGCAGGCTTCTGTCCCCAGGGTACAGAAGAGTTGCTCTCCCTCCTTCACCTTGGTATAAAACTGAGAGCATGTGCTAGAGGTAGATGGACCAGAAAGATCCAGACTGAAATACCTCCTCAGGGTGGGGGTGGGAGTGGGGGAGGGTGCTAGGCGAGCTCTGAACTCCTGGTGAAGATGGCTCCAAGAACTCTGGGATTTGTGTCTGTGGCCTTTTGCAATGTGACTTTGTAAGGTGGTTCTGGAGGCTGGGCTGGCTTAGAAACCACAACACAGGTGATGTGTAGGTTCTGGGGCTTCAGCCAGGGAGCCTTGAGGAGTCAACATTCACCATGTCAGAAGTGTAGGAAATCAGGCTAGCCTTGCTAAGACCACACAGTAATGTGGAGGCCCAGCCAGCCCCCAGTGGACAGCAGTGAGGCCGTGCAAGACCATCTGGCGGAGGTCCCCTGACAGCTGCCCGTGGCCCCATGAATAACCTTAGGTTGGAATGGCCGGGGAACTGTCCAGGGCAGCCCAGCACTTGCTATTTTGGTCAAGTGCACAGTTGTGTATATATCTAGACTTGAGGATTTTTTTTTTTTCCTCCACAGAAACTGAGAAGGAAAGCAAAAATCAAATGAATACCTGTCCACAGAGAACTGTAGCCCTTGCCCTGAGTTTGGAAAGAATAAAGTTCCATTGTTTTAAGCCACCATTTGTTGGTAACCCGCCTTCAGCACATGGAGATCTAGCAGTGATGTCAGCCCAAGCCCCACGTTTCTCCTCAGCAGGTTAAAAATTGGAGAAAGGTCCTCTGGGAACTATGTCCTGCTGTAGTGATTGAATAGGGACCCCAGGTGTGCCCAGGCAAACCCCCAGATCCTGTGAACCCTTGTGCCAAATATTTACATGTTCATAGATGTGATTAGGTTGAGATATCATCTTCCATTCATAGTAAGACCTACATCCAGTGGTAGAAGAGAAGAGATAGAAGAGAGAAGAATGAGGAAATAAACCCACATAGAAAGCATTGCATTTAAAAGGGCTATTAGAAAGACTGCTTAAGGGCTGGGAAGGTGGCTCAGTGGTAGAGCGCTTGCCTTGCATGTCTGAGGCCCTGGGTTTGATTCCTCAGCAGCACATAGCAAAAAGAAAAAAGCCAGAAGTGGCGCTGTGGCTCAAGTGGTAGAGCGCTAGCCTTGAGCTGAAGAGCTAAGGGACAGCGCCCAGGCCCAGAGTTCAGGCCCTCCCCCCCAAAAAAGAAAGACTGCTTAATATTATATACGGAAAACCTTGATTTCACTTTAACGGTATATAAATGGAAAAGCCATTATTACAGTATGTCAAATTTGAACTAGTAAGTAATCTTCTGCTCACCCACTCCCTCCAGGGTTGTTTAGAGATTCTTTAGATCTCAAGGGCTGAGTCCAGTTCTTGTCCCCAAATCTGTGCACCAATGGCCTTCAGCACTGAATATTGCAAGGCGAACTCAGTCTTCCATGGCATGCGAGCAGTGATGTATCTTTAAGAGCACATGTGCAAACAGATCTCTCTGGCACGCAGCAGACAGGCTATGGGGCTGCTGGGAGCCGGTGCTGCCCAGTCAGTAGAGTGCCTGGGGGGTTCTGGAGTCTCATTGATCTACGGTGTTCCCAGTCAGTGGCTGGTACATAGGAAAGACGAGAAACTCACTAGTGGGGATGGGAGGGGTATCAACAATGATGTACCTGGCTTGGAAAAGAAGTACTTTATACAGCAGCTTCAGCTTCATTCCATTGCAGAAAAAAAGAAAAGGAAATGTTGTTAAATGGACTTTTGAGGAAACAAAAACAGATGTCACTAAAACACCAGTCTTGAACCTGAGCAATAGTGAAAGCTTTGAGGAGTATAATTGAAATATGAAATCGTATTCTCCCTATTGTCATTCATTCGTGATTTTTAAATGTCAGTGTTAGATTGTGAGGTTGAATTGATTCGGAACCAAAATATCAGCTGTTTCATTTCCTCTCTGGGGATCAGACCCAGAGATTCATGGCTGTCAGAGGCTGAGAAGTGGGTACTTCAGCCGATGTGGGTGCTGGATGGTATGAGCACAAGCAGTCCCTGGCTTTTTGTCTACTGTTGTTTTTTTGCTAGCTGTTGTGCTCCGGAGTCCCAGAGCTGAACTGCTCGGTGGAGGGTCCCATCAATGCACACCTGGTATGGGGCATTTACCTGCAGGCACCAAAGAGTTTCACTTGTATAACAGCGAGTCTTTTGCATGGACCGATGGCTAGCCACCTGTCGTTTTAGGGAAGGGACATTTTATTCTGCAGATAGTTTCTATGCAGTGAGTGGATTTAGAGCAATGGATTTTTCATTGATCCCTGGTTTTATTTTGTTATTCTGGGCAGAGCATTTTGTGCCATCACTGAAGGAGGTGTTCTCTGATGGGAAAGATGAGTAGGGGGCGGGGTTAAGATTCGCCTCTCTCTCTACAGGTATATGTCAGTGTGTGGCACTGATCCCTCCACACTCTGCACCATCTCAAGAGTGTCTCACCTCCTGTGTGGAGGAGTGTATCTTACTAGGTTGTGTGCACTTTATTAATGTCCTCTTTTGCCTAGATGAGCAATGTGACGGTGGACTATTGTCTTGACATCATCAAGAAATTCGAAGTTTCAGAAGAAAATAAGGCGAAGAATGTTCTTGGCATAGAAGGTAAAATAACCACAGGCTTTCACGTCCCTTTCCTTGATTCAGTTGGCTAAATTAAATTCCAGCCAAATCAAAGATAGTCGTGGAATTTGAGATAATTCTAATAAAGCCAAAAAAATTATATTTTCCTACAAAGGAAATGCCATGGTTTTTCTCTTACTTTTATTTATTTATTTGTTTATTACTTATTTTTGTGCCGGTACTAGGGCTTGACTCAGATCCTTGAAGTCTTTGCTTTGCTCTTGTCTGGTGCTCAACCACTTGAGCCTCACCTCCAGTGTCACTTTTGTCTCTTGTTTTTGCCATACTCAGGTGTTACTGCAGTGTATGATAGATTCCAAGAAGTGTTGGGCTTTTCTCACATGGAAAGAGCTCATCCTGGTGCTTTAGGAGAGGAGATTTGGTCCTAGACTCAGTAACCTAGGAATCTTGTGGCTTGAAATAGACATATTTCTTTACCAAATGAGAGTGACTGTCTTGGTTTTTCCTGATAGGTAGCTTTATAGAAGCTGTTAGAACCACAAATCTCATTACTATAGTTACCTTGAGGCAATGGGACCCTAAGAAATTAAGTAACCTACCCACACTGAAACGCACTCAGAAGCTAGCTCTTAGCACCTTATACATAAGTAAAATTGTATAAATACAGCATCATGTTTGTTTAAAACCGATGCATTTAAAAGAGGCAGAGAAATTAATTGTAGGGAATAAACCACGAGGAAGAGATGGTATCTATCAGGGACTACAGTGTCCCAAATGTCTGGAATATCTCCCAAGGCTGGAGCTGGGCTTCTCTCATTGGATGGTTGGTCTCCTGTCTTCCAGTGCTCCCAGTGACTGTGGGAAAAAGGTGTTGAACTCTATGTGTGTGTGTGTGTGTGGGGCGGGGGGGGGGGTTGTGGGGCTTGAACTGTGGGCCTGGGCATTATCTCTCAGCTCTTCAGCTCAAGGCTAGTGCTCTACCACTTGAGCCACAGCACCACTTCCGTTTTTCTGGTGGTTTATTGGAGATAAGAGTCTCACAGACTTTGCTGCCCAGGCTGGCTTCGAACTATGATCCTCAGATCTCAGCCTCCTGAGTAGCCAGGCTTATAGGTGTGAGCCACCTGCATCTGGCAGGGTTTACTTTTTTGCTGCTGCTACTGTTGTTCTTTTGTCTTTGTGTTTTTATGAGCCAGGGGCTATGTTGTCCAGGCTGGCCCTGGACTCCTGGATTTGGGCATCGGGCACAGAACACAACTCCTGCCTTGACAGGAGGCTTTGGTTCCGTGAATTTATTCTTGGATAAGAGGGTATTTAAAATGAAGAGGAACAACTTTAAATTGTATATCCTTAAAACAAGTTTAAAGACAGAAAGGGTAAACTAACGTAGGCCTTTCCTGTACTAGGGAGTGATGGCTTCCCCTGGTGGGCACCCAAAAGATGGCAAAAGTGTGGCTGCTAAGTTTCATTCCAACATGTCCGTTGACATACAGTGGCTCTTGATCAGTGACCCTTCCATCACTCTCTCCCCTCCGGCTTCAGCTTGCTGATGCTCTATTTGATGCCAAGCAAATGTCCCAGCTGTCATAAACATCACTTTGGATCTTCTTGGACCTTGTTGTCTGAATCAGAGAGTTTAAGAGGCACGCGTGGAAAGTTACACTACTCTGTTCTGTCTCCCGCAGGCTTCACGAACTTCATGCGCAGCCCTGCGTGTGACATCTTTAACCCCGTGCACCAGGAGGTGTGCCAGGACATGGACCAGCCGCTCTGCAACTACTATATTGCGTCCTCGCACAACACCTACCTGACTGGGGACCAGCTCCTCTCGCAGTCCCGAGTGGACATGTATGCCCGCGTGCTCCAGGAGGGCTGCCGCTGCCTGGAAGGTGCGTGGGCTCCCCCTGCCCGCTAACGGGGCTCACATTTGCGTTGGTATTGGTAGGATTCCAAGATGCCCATAGGGAGCTGGTGTTAATGTGTAACCACTGTGCCGTTCACGATGAGGGAAGGAATCTGGTGGAAACCTAACGGGTTTAAGTGGACAGTCAGGGAGAGCCTCATTAGTGACATGAGGAGCATTGGCTGAAGGAGCCGTGAGCTCAAAGACGTCCACTAAGAAATATCACACTGGTGGGCATGTTTGGTTAGACTTAGATCAACTTCCAATAGAATTTCTGGTAAATTCCAGGCTACTTCTGAGCATAGACCTCTGTAAAACTATACGCATTTCAAAAACAAAGCATTTTTAAAAATCTTCATAAACTACAACATTTAAAGAAGTTAAGTTATTAGCTCCAATTGTTTCTATTAAGTATGCCAGAAGACCTTTGTCTTCATCTGACAGCTTCAGCAGAGTTTAGTAGGTATAATCTCCCGTGGCAAATTTAGACCAAAAGAGTGCCTGCTGTGTCCAGCCTGCTGTGCCGATAGACACAGCCCTGCAGGCTGTTGATGTGGAGATCTGATTTTTGGCAGTTGACTGCTGGGATGGGCCAGATGGAGAGCCAGTAGTTCACCACGGCTACACGCTCACGTCTAAGATTCTCTTCAGAGACGTGGTGGAGACCATCAACAAGCACGCCTTTGTGAAGAATGAGTGAGTACCTCCGGAGCTCCGCCTGGCCTCGAGGCCAAGCCATCCCCGCATTCCTGCTCTCCATTCCTGCTATTCCTGCCTCTCCATCCTCCTCTGCCTAGTCAGCAAGGCCTGCGGGCAAATGCCCTGGGACCCCGCTCCTCTCTCTCATCCTCTGCTCCCTCCTCTCCTGTCCCCTCTCAGCCTGCCTCCTACACCTTGTCCTCGAACAGGATGACCTCGAAATCTTTAGCTCCAGGGCACAGAACTTCCACACAAAGCTGGGACACACAGATTGCAATGTGCACATTACCAGGCAGTATGAAAACCCAATGGCATCCACTGTTCTGGCTGCCCTGTGCTGCAGCAGCCGACATCCTAGGATCACCTGATCATTTTCATTGGTATTGGAAAAGCTTAACTATTTGCTCCCCAACACCTGCATTTTGGGGCTCCATTATTACATTCTCTTCTCCTTGGCTGCCATTGCTTCTTTCTTTCTGTTTTCCCTGTGAATTTCCAGTCCATCTCCCTCACTTCCTTAATTGTAACTGTTTCGTAATCGATTGCATTTTTGGTCCACCCTTTGGATACTTCACTAATTACACCCCCAGAACTCTTCCTCTAAGTTCAAGATCTCTGTAGAAACATCCTCCTCAGTATTGTCATGACAGTTTCGGCTCGGCGTGGCCAGCCCCGCACTGGCCCTCACAGCTTCGCATCCAGGGGGAGCCCGTGGTCTCCTTCTGCCAACCCTCCTCTTGCTTCTCGCTCTTTCCTCTTAGCTGGGGCAGCCTTGTCTGTCTACCAGCAGCCACTCCCTCCTGGGGTCTCTCTGGCATCCATGACTTCTCTCATCCTTATGGACCTTTTGGTTGGTGCCATGCTTTCTTTCTGAAATCCATGCCCGTGTTGTCAGTCTTGTCTTGGCGTCTTCCAAGACTCCCTGTTCCACACAAGCGAATCCTTGTGTCCTTGCAGGCGTCCCACTCTTTCCTGCCCTTTTCTCCAGTGCTCCACAGAGACATCATATTCAGTGACCAGCAGACTATACTGGCCAATGCTGTTCTCCACCTGGGGCGCCCCTCCCCCGCCCCACCCACCTGTCCTACAGGAAGAGTGGATTCAAACTCTGTGTGTGTGTGTGTGTGTGTGTGTGCATCAGTACTGGAGTTTGAACTCAGGGTCTCAAAGGTCCTACTTGTTTGGTGCTTTATCACTTGAGCTACTCTATAAGTCCTTTGTGTGTTGGTTATTTTTTGAGATTGGGTCTTACTTGAGATTGGGTCACTTGAGATTTTTGAGATTGGGTCTCTGCTTGGCTTTTGCATCCTCTAAACCACGATCCTCCAGACTCTGCCTCCTGAGCTAGGATTAGAGGCCTCCAAACCTGCCTAAGCATCTGGAATATAACTCTGTCCTGTCCTGTGGTGCCTTGTTACCACTGTTGACAACTGGACTTGTTTTAACTCTACAGGACAGACTGGTGCTGGTAGCTTACACCTGTAATCCTAGCTAGTTATGAGGCTGAGATCTGAGGATCATAGTTCAAAGCCAGCCCAGGCAGAAAAGTCCAAGCGCCTTGAGCAAAAGAAACTCAGGGACAGCGCCTAGGCCCTGAATTCAAGCCCCAGTACTGCCCCACCCCCCAGACACAAAAAATAAATAAAGCTACAGAATAGCTAACTCACCAAAAGTACAAGACTATGCCTTAGACATTTGTAATTCATTCTTTGTGACCTAGCGGGTCCCTGCCGCCTATCAGGCATGCAAGAAAGAATTTTGAATTAAAGAAGCAAATTAAAAATTACAGTTGCAGAAAATTAATATTCTAGACGTTAGTAGCCTTTCACATTTTTTAATATGTGGCCTTATTAATTAAGCATGCGGTAAAACTGCTGCTGTACAAAGAGACCCTTGGTGCAGAACAGGTTAGTGTGTGGCGTTTTTGAGTGCCCGGCTTCGGGTTGCTTTTCACAACCCTGATTTTGACGCCTTGGGGCGGAGTTGGTGGTGATCTTCCTCCACGCCCAGTGTGTGTGAGGTGGTGTGTGGACTCCGCTGCCTCTCTGCGCTCCAAGGACCTCCCGACTTAACTCTTCATCTCCTGTGTGGAGGTCTCTACAGGAACACCATGCCTGTTTACTACATTTTCCACGGGTGCCCTTTGGGGGCAGGTGGTACTAGGCTTTGAACTCAGAGTGCTGAGCTTGAGAGGCAGGCACGTTACCACTTCAACCATGCATCAAGCATCCGACTTTCAGCTTACTTCTTCCCTTCTTGAGCTCGGGTCCTTCTCCTTGCCCGGGCTGACCTGGGGTTGCGGTTCTTCTCCCTAGGACTCCTGGGCAGCTGGGCAGACAGTCATGTGCCGGCACACCAGGCTCCCTGCTGAGATGATAGCTTGTTCCAGCTGTCATTGAACTTTGATCCTCCTAACCTCTGCTGCCCTAGCAGCTGGGATTACACCTGTAAGCTATCATGCCTGTTGGCATGCTGGCTTTTCTTCCCAGCACTCTAGGGTCCCAAGGCAGGTTGGTCAGGACCCAGCTGGCTTCATTGTCCAGGTTTACCTCGCTCTCTGTCACCTGCAGCACCAGGTTTTGCTGACAGGGACAGAAAGTCATTCCAGGAGCTCAGTGGCTGTCACTGGGAGTTTGTACCTCTCTGAAAGGTCCGGAGAAACAGTTTTTAATGCAGTTTAAATGTTGGTTATATATTCTTGAAAAAGAATGCCTTGTATGTGATGGAAAATGGGAGAAACTACGAATAAATCTGAGTTGGAAGTAATTTCTCATTCTGAAGAAAAAAGTTGAGGAGCAAGCCTGACTTTCTCAGCTCCCCACCCTCTGGGGCTGTGGACCGATCTGGCTCTCAGTGAGTTTCTGGGCAGTCAGTTACCTTACAGGGACCTGCAGCTTCTGCACAGACTCCTGCATGCTGGCGAAGCATGAACGCTTGGCTTCTTTTATTGTAAAACTAAAGACGAGTGTATAACCCTGCCTGAAATCATTTTGAGATGTCCAACACGTGATGCCACAACATACAAAGTCCATTGTGTTATTTTATCCTCAGTAGCAATTTCCAAGTTGAGAATGTATATCTTGATCTATACCTATATCTGTATATCACTATCTGTATCTGTATCTGTAGCAATATTCATCTATATCTCTATATCTCTATCTATGTATCATCTCTATATACCTATCTCTATATCCATCTCAATATATCTATATCTGTCTGTAACAATGTCTATTTGTCTATCTATCTCTATATCCAGATCAATACATCTGTCTATATCTGTATCAGTATATCTTGATCTCTATCTATCTCTACGTATCTGCATGTATCTCTATTTTTATCTATGTATGTTTTCATGTGTGTGTGCACACACTTTTAGAGTGTGTTTCATGATATGCAATGGTCCCAGATATACCTGGACTTTTGAACACACAAGAGGAAAATACATTTCATAAATTTCCTCCCCCGTTAAGCGTTCATTCCTTTAATTCTTTTTAACACATACGTACTGTGCTCCCTCTCCTCACCTTTTTGCCTGATGCCAGCTCCTGGCCTTCATCATTTCACACGGTGAGCACAGTTCAGTCATTCCACCTAGCAGAGTTCACTGGCTTAGCGGTGTATTTCTAATGTACCTCTAATCTTCCTTGTAGAATCAGTGTGTCCCCCGCACGGCCGCAGCTCCTGTCGTGAGATTGCAGGGCTGCAGTGGGCGCTGACTTGGGGGTCTGGGCCTCTGGTGCTGCCCCTGGCTCACGCCGCCGCCCTCCCACTCTCACATAGGTTCCCCGTGATCCTGTCCATTGAGAACCACTGCAGCATCCAGCAGCAACGGAAGATCGCCCAGTACCTGAAGGGGATATTCGGGGACAAGCTGGACCTGTCAGGTGTGGATGCCGGGGACGGCAGGCAGCTCCCAAGCCCTCAGAGCTTGAAAGGCAAAGTTCTGGTGAAGGTAATGGCCCAGGCGGCGCGGGCATCCAGGCCAGCTGGGCCTCTCCCCTCTCCCTCCCCCATCCCCACTCAGGTGGCATGGGCATGGAAGCCAGCTGGGCCTCCACCCTGGGAGAACCCTGCACACTCTCAAGAGCAGTGGTTGGCCTGCAGGCACACAGGTTTTCTAGACCTGTGTGTGCATCAGGAGAGGCAGTTCTGATGCAGTGCATCAGTTCTGGGGCTGCGTCACTGTGGTGTTGCTACGTATTATGAGCGTTGCTTTACGACGTGAAGGGAGAGGTGTAACACTTGAGTCTGTGCTGTCAGTGCGGACGGCAGCATCCGGGGCAGGAGCCAGACAGCTCCCCACATCCCCAGCCAAGGCCTTTTGTTCACATCCCTTCCTTCCATTTCAAGCTCCAATAACTGTCTGTCAAAAAAGATATATTGTCACGGTTGATCAGCCCCTGCGTGTATCCGTGAGAAGCGCTGTTCCAGAGACGGCACGTGGTGGGCGAGAGGCAGGTGAGGGATGGCATCACAGAGGCTCTCTTTCCAGGGACAGCGGACACTGCAGGTGCAGACGCAGTCAGGAAGACAGCCCCTTGGGCTTTCTGACTGCCGACTCTGTGATTTTTCTTAGTTTTGGTGAATTGTATGTATGGACCCAAACCAGTTTTTGATGGCTGCATTCTTTTGAGGTGAAAGACAAAGGAAAACCAGGTGCCAGTGATTCACCCCTGTAATCCGAGCTACTCAGGAGGCAGATCCCAGGATAGAGATTCTAAGCCAGCCCCTGCTGCTTATCTTCAGTTAATCACCAGAAACTCAGAAGTGGTGCTGTGGCTCAAGTGGTAGAGAACTAATTGAGCAAAATAGTTAAGGGACAGCTCATAGACCCTGAGTTTGGGTCCTACTACTGGCACCAAAAACCCAAAACAACAACAATGAAGAATAGTTGGCTGGGTTGTATTTTACCAAATGTACAGGAGAATGAGACCTTAGAGGAAACAAGCGATTCCATGCCAGGACTTCAATGAGAAAGGAGACGTGGGCACACTGCTCAGGCGTATTCATCTTTAGAACCTACCAGAACTTGATTTTCTGTCAATTAAATGAAAACGACAGATTCTGAAACTGCGAAGAAGTGTCCTGGATAAAAGTTGTAGATAATACAACAACTAACGCTCACCAGCAACACGAAAAGCTTGCCCAGTCTTGTGGAAGCTGACCCCTGTGTTCAAAACCATTTTCTGGGTTAGACGGTAGACAGGTTAGACAGGCTCCCCATCCTGTAATCATTTCGTGGGCAGTTGGCATGAGAAGGTAGGTAGTATGGGCTGCGTCCTCCAGGGGCAGCCTGCATTGCTGAGGACCAGGTGCGGGCCCCTTTGGGCACAGCCATGGTGTCAGGACCTGTGCACACCAGTCTGGCTCAGAGTCTGAGGTCAGAGGCCATCACTGGGCTCTGGGATCTGACGGCTGAGAAGCTGTATTTTCTGTGTCTGCACACTGGTCCATCTTGGGCTTTGCCACTGGACCCAAGACAACGCTGACTCAGAAGAAATGGTTGGTGAATGGTAAGAAGAGCTGGAGGCATGGCTCACCAGTAGAACACCTGCCTGGTGAGGCATGGCGCAAACCCACTGCCATGGCCTAGACATGTGTGCTTGCTGTTGTTCTAATGTAGGTGCCGGGGACCCCATCTAGACCCAGAGGCCAGCTGGCCCCCGGCCCCTCGGCGTCAGAAGCCCCGAGTCCCCATGCAGCCTTTCTGCCAGCACTTCCTGACCACCATTCTGTGGGCCACGAGGTTCAGAGCCGTGGGCTCTGTGGCCAGGTGTGTGGATGCCCGAGCGGTGTCTTCACTGGGTTTGTCTTGGTTTGGATTGTGTTCAGTGTCATAAACATCCCCCCAGTGAGCAGTCTTGAACAACAAACACTTCATTCCACTGTCCCGTGTCCCTGTAGGAACCTAGGTGTGGTTTAGCTAGATCCTCTGTTCAAGGCCTCTGGAGAGAGAGAAAGAGAGAGGGAAGAAGAGGAGAGGGAGGGAGGGAGGGCACTTACCCATCAGCCTTGGCCACTCAGCTTCAGCACCTCCATGCCTGCCTGCAGAGTTTCTTAGCATTTCCTTCTGCTCCAGAAGCAGCCAGCCATTCGGGCAGCAGCCCCAGCGACCCAGAGCCTCTGGTCTAGTCCCTGCGGCCCCACCCTCTACTGCATTCTAAAATTGCGGTCCTTTTTCTGAATGCAAATTGATGTAAATTGAGGAACATAGAAAGGGAGAAAACACTGCTCAAGACACTCTGATTTAGAGATAATTGCGCTTTGAACAATGAAATCATATTTCTTTCCAGTCTTTCCCCTGTGTTTTTATAGTTCACCAAGATTGTAAGAACATTATTGTACAGTCAGCTCTCCTATATTGGCAGATTTAACCACCCACATATCAAAAATACTTGTTTTTTGTGGTCAAGGCTTTGTGTTTGCTAGACAGTCATTTCACCTTAACTTGTGCCAGGCCTCTGGCTCCTTTTGCTCAATTTCTTTTGAGATAGTGGCTCACTTTTTCCCTGTTTGGGCCAGTCTGGATCACAGTTCTCCTATTTGTGCATACTATACAGCTGAGATGACAGCCATGTGCCACTGTGCCAGCTGGCTGCTGGCTGAGATAGGGGTCTCTTGTGGATTGGCTGCTGCCTGAGATGGGGATATCTCGTGAACTTGCTGACCGGCCCCGACTGTGGTTCTCCTGAGCTCTGCCTTCTGGCTAGGACTTCAGGTCTGAGTCTGGTGGCTGGCATGTGCAGACTCTCCTCCTCTCATTAGGAATAGCGTGTGAAGTATTTTAGAGCATCCGGAGACAATTTAAGCAGGGGGATGTGTAGGTGGTGTGAGAATAACACACCATTTTCTGTAAAAGACTTGTACAGTGTTTTTAGATGTTGGTACCTGAGATAGGTTCCGGAAGCATTTTCCATGGTTACTGATGGATGGGTGTAATGCTATCTGTCTCTCAGGTGTCTTAAATCTTACTGTAGGAATTTTCCTTTGCTTAAGCCCCTACTCTGATTTCTGGCGTGTATTTTGGTGAGGTGTCAGAAGTAGTTTGAGACTGCAGGCTATGCAGGAGAAACTTGGCTTGTTGAGTGTGAAGGGTGAAGGTGTGCAGATGTGAAGCTGCACAAGTGTAGGTGTGCGGGTATGCAAGTTTGCAGGCATTCAGATGTAGGTGTGCAGGCATTCAGGTATGGGTGTGCAGGTATGCAGGCATGCAGGTATGGCTGTGCAGATGTGCAGGAATGCAAGTGTGGCTGTGGAGGTGCAGGCATGCAGTTGTGTGGGTATAGGTCTGCAGGCATGCAGGCATGCAGTGTGAGTATGCAGGTATGCAGGCATGCAGGTGTGGGTGTGCAGGTGTGCATGTGTGCAGGTGTAGGTGTGCAGGCATGCAAGTATGCAGATGTGGGTATGCAGGCATTCAGGTATGGGTATGCAGGCATGCAGGTGTGGCTGTGCAGGCATGCAGTTGTGGCTGTGTAGGTATTCAAGTGTGGGTGTCCAAGTATGTAGGCATGCAGGTGTGGGTGTGCAGGTGTTCAGGCATGCAAGTGTGGGTGTGCAGGCATGCCGGTGTGTGGGTGTAGGTGTGCAAGTGTGCAGGTGTGGGTGTGGAGGCCCAGGCATGCAGGTGTGCGGGTGTAGGTATGCAGGTATGCAGGTGTGGTGGTCCAGGCATGCAGGTGTGCCGGTGCACATGTGTAGGTGCGGGCATGCAGGTGCAGGTGCCTTGACCTGCTTAGAACCAGCAGCTTGTGGTGGGCCTTGTCTTGATGGCTGGAGTCTTGACCTGTTGGGCTGCTGTAACAAAATGCCTGACAGCGGGAATTGTCCCTGCACCAAAAGTGGCTCTGGTGGCTCCGGGGTCTGTGGGGCCAGGGCGGAGCATGGGACAGGGGAGTGACTCAACCACAGCCAGTGGCCCAACCTCAAAACACCATCACCTCAGTACCACAGGATTGGGTTCCACCAAGGACCCTGGGCAACCTTACACCTCCAGTGGGTCTAGATGATGGAGTACGGTCACGTGTACGCTTACTCACATAATGAAAGAAACTTGTCTGAATTTTCATAAAATAAGTGTCCTTCATTAATTACACTTAGTGGAACGTAGTAAGACTGCCTTTCCTTAAAAGTCCTTTCTCTCTTTTATTTTTTTATTATTTTATTTTTTATTTTTAGTTGGTCATGGGTCTTGAACTCAGGGCCTGGGCAATGTTCCTGAACTCTTTAGCTCAAGGCTAGCATTCTATCACTTGAGCCATAGAGCCACTTCCGGTTTTCTAGTAGTTTATTGGAGATAAGAGTCTCAGGGACTTTCATGCCCAGGCTGGCTTTGAACTGAGATCCTCAGATCTCAGCCTCCTGAGTAGCTAGGATTACAGGTGTGAGCCACTAGCGCCCGGCCTTTCTCTGTTTTAATTACTCCTAATTTAAGCTGTGTACCTTCTAGTCAGGCTGAAGTAATGATCAACCATAGGCTAGCTCATTGGACCTCAAGTTTTCACTTTTAAAAATTGTGGTCAATTATATATAACAAAATCTACCTACTGCCCTAATTGTTTTCAAGTGCTTTAGTCCTATTTAAAAGCATTCGCACTGCAGGGTGTGCCCAGTGGCTCAGTCCTGTAATCCGTGCTACTCAGGAGGCTGAGATCTGAGGATTGCTGTTTGAAACCAGCCTGGACAGAACAATCTGAGAGCCTCTTATCTCCAGTTTACCAGCAAAAAGCTGGAAGTGGAGGTGTGGCTCAAGTGGAAGAAGGCCAGTCTTAAGTGAAAAAGCCAATAAGCAAGAGGGTAAGGCCCTGAGCTCCAGCCCTGGAACTGGTGCCCTCACCAAAAAATAAGCAAAAATAAAAATAAAATCCTGTGTGGCTCACCTCCATTTTATTTTCTCCTCTGTGAACTCAGCTGTTCCAGGTCCCCTGTGGGCATGGAATCATGGATTCTGTCTTTTGTTTCTGGCTATGTCATCTGTCTTAGTGTCTGCAAGGCTCATCCGTCCGTGCTTTAATGTGTACCGGAATTTCATTCTTCTTAAAACATGAGTACTCCCTCGCATCCGTTCACCTGTCCTTGGGTGTGCTGCTTCTTGTGTCTGGCTCTTGTGAGTTTTCAGTTTAGATGCATTGCTTTGATTCCTTTCAGGGCAAGAAGTTGCCTTACCACCTTGGGGATGATGCAGAGGAAGGAGAGGTGTCGGATGAGGACAGCGCCGACGAGATTGAAGATGAGTGCAAGTTTAAGCTGCACTGCGTGAGTCACACAGGCGGGGGCTGGAGGGGCGGGGGTGGGGCCCCTCTGGGCACCTGGCAATCAGCACAGGTTCCAGGCCGCGCCGGCCTCCTCCTCCCTCACAGGAGGCTCTGGGCTATAAGGAAATTTAAAGGAAATCGCTGCGCACCTGCACACAGCTGCTCGTTTACTCAGTCTGTGAGTCCAGGTTTCGTGTGCCTTAGAAATGGAAGGAATGTTCTCGATGCCCCATCTGACCCCATCCCCACAGACAAGTCCCCTCCTATCTTGACTCAGCTAAACTTCAAACTGTGGTCGCAAAAGTAAGTGTCTTTCAACGCTAGCCTGGTCTTAACTCCTGCCTCACGCTCGTGTCCAAACACACTCCACGACAGGGCCGGTCAGAGCTCCCGCGGTCCTGCCCGCTCCTAGGTGACCCCAGTGCCTGTCAAGGCACAAGTGTCCACATGGTGATTCATTTGTGATGTTGTCAGCAACACAGCATAGAATGGTTATTTCCCTTCGTGGGTTTCCTGGCTGGAGACCCGCCCTGCAGAAAAGCACCCTTTCCCCACGTCCCCTGGGGCTTCCACAAACCTGGGGGAGCGCAGGCTTGGGGACAAGGGTGAGTCCCAGCTCACCCTGGCTCCAGTGAGGCCAGAGCCTCAGGACGCCTCAGGGGATGAGCCAGAGGCCTGGGACTCCATTGCTGCCACTGCCTGCTGGGTGGAATTCTTTTGGACATCAGGGCTGTTATTCTACCCTCTAAAACCAGATCCATTTTGAATAAATTCCCCTGATTGATATCACTGCCCTGAGCTCAGCGGTCGTTGAACTCAGCGGTGTATTGTTAACAATCTTCTCTTCACTAAATTGTGCTGTGATTGCCCGTAAGAGACTGGTAAGAGACTGTTTCCGGAAAGAACAAGAGATAAGTGACAGCCAAGTCCGGCCAATGCTTCTGTCCTGGGTTTCATTTATTGTAAAGTAGTGAAATGGAGAAGACTGAGTTGAAGTGAGGTGGGGGGGAAAGGGGGGGTGGGCGGGCGCTGCCGTCTGCATTAACCTCTTCACTTCTTTTTTTTTTTGTCAATCATGGGGCTTGGGCATTGTCCCTCAGCTCTTCAGATCAAGGTGAACGCTCTACCACTTGAGCCACAGCACCACTTCCAGTTTTCTAGTGGTTTATTGGAGATAAACATCTCACGGAGTTTTCTGCCCAGGCTGGCTTTGAACCACGATCGTCAGCTCTCAGCCTCCTGAGTAACTAGGATTATAAGATTATAGCCGGCGCCTGGCTAACCTCTTCACTTCTGATAGCTTCTCTTAAGTCAGTTAAATACCCCCAATTGGGTGACAGTTACAGAAAAATTAAATAGGTTTTACACAGCTGAAATGGTTAACATTTCAGTTTCTTTTGTTGTTGGTGGTGGTGACCGTGTGGCCTGGGCACTGTCCCTGAGCTCATTTTGCTCAAGGCTAGTACTCTAACACTGTGAGCCACAGCACTACTTCTGTTTTTCTGGTGGTTAATTGAAGATAAGATTCTCACACTTTGAACTGTGAGCTTCAGATCTCAGCCTCCTGAGTAGCTAGGATTTCAGGCGGGAGCAACCAGCTCTGGACATACTTCAGTTTCTTATTTACTCTTCTAGATATTTGCTATTTTTGTAACTAGTGACTTGAAGTATTGGATAATTAACCTTTTTATTTTTACTTTTCACTTGTTCATTTTGTTCTTGTTTTGAGACCTTTTTTTTTCTTTTTAATGTAGCCTGGGTTGGCTTTGAGTTTGCAATCCTCCTGCCTCAGCCTCCTGAGTATTAGGAGTGCAGGAGTTCATTGCGATGCCTGGCTAGCTGTATTTTGTAAGCTTGACTTTTCATTACTGTACACCTTGATTCCCAGCTCTCTTGGCTGCCAACTCAGAGTGACTTATCATTCAGAGGCGGGAAGCACAGAGATGCTACTATGTTAATGTTTAAGGAGTGCTGTTTTAGTGAAAATGAGGGCTAGGCTTTAACTATCATCCCAGTGTGTCCATTTGTTCCTCTGAGTCGAGATCAAGCTCTACTTTGAAGCTCCTCTGGTTTCGAATGTGGTAAACCTTAGACCTTCCTCAGGTGGATAATCTGATTATGAAATTCCTTTGAGAGTCAGCTGTGGTTTTCTAGGAAGGAGCTGGAGTCCTGCCTGCTGGCTGCCTCAGGCAGCACAAAAAGCCTTCTGTTAGTTTCTAGGCACCTGTAGCTAAATAGACACTGGCTACAGCCCTAGCAAGGCTACATGAGATTCTCTGTGCATTCAACAATTTTTTACTGAGCACCTGCTGTAGGAGATGTGTTGTTAACATTATAGGTTTTAGGAAGAGAGATCTTTGTCAGCAGCATGGACAAAAGCTATGACTTCCATGAAGTGGTCCACTGATCCATTATGGGGCAGGAAGAAGGTAGATAAGAAATGAGCCAGATTAATACAAGATATACTGATTAGATCATTGTAGGTGGTGAGCTATGTGCCGCTGTTCATGTATGTGTGATTGCATCTTGAGTCTGTGTGTACATACATGTGAAAGGTTTATTCGCTTTGGATGGATGCTCCAGGAAAAGTGTCAAGAGCAGATCTGGAAGCAGCGAGTCCGGGAGGCGATTCCTCTCCTCGCTGAGAGGCCGGGTTTTGTGGTTGCCAGGCATTCCCCAGCCTGGGAAGCAGAGCAGGAGGCGGGATTCCTTGCAGCCCTCCATTCCTCCACCGCAGCCTCAGGCTGTGCTAACGCAGTGCAATCCCACTGTGTCTGGAGTTGTTGCAACCTTTAAGCTTTTCCTGCCTTGGATTGTTTTGTGGCTTTAGCCATAATGCAAATCTGGCTCATGCTATGGAGCAAGTCCAGCGTGTTCAGGAACCCAAGAATCCCACAGCTCCCGGGCATGGCAGACAACGTCCTTTCACTCACAGTACAATGGACCTGGCAGCTTGGTCCAGGGTGCCAGTGGGCAGCCACTCTCCTATGCATGGGTCATCAGACGCCGGTGTGCCTCACAGCCTGTCCACCCTACATCCCACTCGAATTGCATTTTTCCTCTTCTGATGTTTTTCTGTTTTTTTTTTTTTTTGTCTTGTATTCCCTGAACATATTAGGGACAAACATCAGCTATATCCCCCTCCCCCCATTACATGGAGGTTACCCACAAACACCAGGCCTCAACCTACACCACATGCACCTGTCACAGTAGTGCACTGCACTACTGTGCACTGATACTCTGCACTGATACTCTGAAAGCCGGCACCCATCTCTCTTTACACCTGTCTACCGTTCCCTTCCCTTCCCACTCCTTAGCTCCGAGCTCATCTTCCTTTCTAGGCCACTCACTGGATGCTTTGGACCCTTCTAAGGTGATGAATCTTGACACTCAGCCTCAGAGCCCTCATGAGCAGCCGGTGATGCGTGACCTCTCAAGGCAGGGAGGGCTTCTCCCGAACATGCTTGTGTGGGGCGGCAGGTCATGGCCTCGCAGGGGAGTGGGGAAGTGGGGAGGTGGACTGGAAGAGTCCGGCTGTTTCTTACCATGATGATTGGTCCTGGATCAGAAGAGAGTGAGCTGAGGGGGCTGAAGTAGTGGGCTGGAGTGAGGGGAGAGGGTGCAGGGGTGCAGGGGGAAATGGCTAGCAGCAGCAGCCCACAGGTCAGGAAGATGGGCTGGAGAATGGTGGGGGAGGCGCTGCAGAGGGAGGGAGAGTAAGATGCAGCCCTGGCTGCCGGATGGATGCCCCCAGAGGGCAATGGCGCAGGAGCTGCTGGGATTTCCCCACCATTTTCCTTGCTTTGTTTTGAAAGCAAAATGCCTCAGCTTTGACTGCTTTAAAAAGCGGGGGCTTTCCAACCCCCCCCAAGGCCAGGGTCTCAGCCCAGAGACGATGAGGTCATTTGCCCAGGAACTTTGCTCACATATCTGGTGACCTCCGTGTGCAAGGACACACTTGTGTCCTCTAACCTCTGACCGCAGACTCAGGTAGGGTGGCGCTCTGCTTCCGGAAGGATGCTGGAGACCAAATAAGGGTGTGTGTGTGTGTGTGTGTGACTGGCAGCGGAGGGAGCGATGGGTGAGAGGTGATGCCTCAGAACAGTGGCGTGTGTCCTCCGACAAAGCCCTCCTGACCTGTCCAATTGCATTCCTGCCCCCCTCTCCCACTGGCCCTGGGCACAAAAGGATAAAAAAACGTAAGGCTCCCAGCAGCACAGCGCCGCCAGGCCCTGGGGTCAGACTTGAGCCTCAGCTTTGCTTCAGTACTGCGATTGGATGAACTCCTGGACTGAATGATATTATAGTAATAAACCACAGCCACACGTGTATTTGTTCTTCTGGGCTGTACATTTGCCTATGTGTGTGTGTGTATGTGCACATGCTTGCGCGCATGCTGGCACTCATGCACATGCGTGAGCATGCAGGCATATGCTGTGAATCGCAGAGAAGAAAAGAGATGAGCAGGCAGGAGCATGGGTCTTCGGGCAGCCCCAGCGCAGGAGGCATGAAGGGGAGGTGCACAGCGCCTGTGCGGTGCTGCTGTCCTCATGTGTGACCGGCGCTGGCCGCCCTCACTTGGCGCAGTCTCATCCTGCCTCTGTTGATGGTGACAGTCTGTTTGCCCAGCTCCTCCCTTTCTGCGAGGCTGCTAGGTAGGGAAGGAAGGAGGCTATTTGTGGCTATTTGGAGCACTCTATGTGACCCCAGGCTCTCTTAAATTCATTTCTGGCCATGTGTGAAACCCACTGACTCTTCTCCATGGAGGGCCTGTGGGATGTGTTGTGGGCTTCACAGTAGGAATAATGCTTGTTGGACATGGAGTCCACTCGGGCTGTACTTCCCCCAAGAGTTCCTCTCTTCCTACAGTGAGAGAAGGCAGATGGCTGCAGGGTTGTACCAGACAGGAAGTGCCCCGTGCTGTTCCCAGTCCAGCAGTTGCCAGGTGTGTGTGTGTATGTGCATGACACGCTGAGAGTCTGTCTCTTCCTGTGAGGAACA